AAGAATCTCTAGGTGGTGCAAGGGAGTAACCCACTTAGCTGCTAAACTAAAAGCTGGAGGTTCAAGTCCACCCAGGGGCACCTTGGAAGAAGGGACGGGTGATCTACTTCTGAAAATCAGCCATTGAAAACCAAATGGAGCACAGTTCTACTTTGTTACATATGGGGTCAACATGAGTCAGAATTGACTCCACAGCAATTACTTTTGCATTCTAGAGAAGATTCATCCCCATAGTATGTGCGTGAGCAAAGGACACCCTCTACATACTTTAAGGCTGAGGCCTGTCATGAGTAGGCATTGGTCTCTATGGGAAAGAAAACTAGTGAAGAACTTCTAGGACAGGCTGAGGGAAAATCTGAACCTAGGAAATTTTATCAGTCCACATGGTTCTTTAAACATATGCACGTGTGTTTGTATGAGAGAAAAAGAGAGAGAGAGAGCTCACATATGTATATGTGCACATTAACTTCTTTGTAAACCATTTGAGAACCTAAATAGAAACTGAGTAGATGAGTAGTGGGGTCCAGATGGACCTGAACTGTAATAATATTGGTCTTTGAAAGGACTTGTCATAACTAGCTTTTAAATGTTAAAGCAACATGGTACTACCAGCTATGAGGAACTGGGCACAGGAAAGAGGAACCTAGGCAAGACCCACCCACATATCAGGAAGTCCAGCTCACTATGTGGGGCTTAGTAAAACTTTCATATGAATTTAGGCCTCTAGTTTAGAAACCAGGAGCTCTGGTAGTATAGTGCCTAAGGCACTTGACTGCTTACCAGAAGGCTGATGGTTCAAACCCACCAGCCACTCTTCAGAAGGAAAGTTGAACAATATACTTCCTTAGTGATACTGCCTCAGAAACCCAAGGAAGGGTCACTATGAGTCGGGTCCGACTCAATGGCACATAACAACAGTTTAGAAACCATTTAGAAATTTGTTTTCAGCCCACAGAAAATTCTCCCCACCCAGAAGAAGTAATCTTCTTACTGGTTGTTGAGGTGTCTCCTCACAGGTTGCAAAGTGAAATGACTTTGGTTCCATTTTCCATGCAGTTGAGCTGTGCTAGACTGAAGAGTAGATAACATTTGGAGGATGCCACATGGTGTGATGAGGAGCCCTGGTGGTGCAGTGGTCAAACGCTCAGCTGCCAAGCAAAAGGTCGGCAGTTCAAACCTACCAGCTGTTCCACAGGAGAAAGTGGTGGCAGTCTGCTTCCATAAAAATTACAGCCTTGGAAATCCTCTGGGGCAATTCTCCGTCCTATAGGGTGACTATGAATTATTGGCAAATGTTTTTGTGGACATAGTGTGGCATCTCCCAGGACTTCAAAAAGCAGTAGCAATGATTCTTGCAGTAGTAATTGCACAAATGTTTCCTGAGTGCCTAGTGGGGGCCTGGCCCTGTTCTAGACAGTGAAACCAGTAAGGGCCCATATCCACAGAGCTTATCCTCTAGTTGGAGAGAGAGGTATTTAAGTTAACAAATAATAACCAATATAAATCGTGGTTGTTGTTGTTTGCCGTCGAGTCGGCCCCGACTCATAGCGACCCCTCCTTGGGTTTCCGAGGCAGTATCACTATGGAAGTAGGATTGCCCAACCTTCCTTCCGAGGAGTGGCTGGTGGGTTTGAACCACCAGCCTTCTGGTGAGCAGTCAAGTGCCTTAGGCACTATACTACCAGAGCTCCTATAATTATTATGGGAAAGATAAGGGGAAGGGGAGATAGGTGAGGGAATAGAATACTTTAGGTGAGGTGATTAAACAAGCCTCTCACAGGTGCTGAATTGAGACCAGAATGAAATAAGTCAGGCATGCAAGGATCCAAGGAGAAAGCATTACAGGTACATAGAACTGTTCTGCAAAGGCCCTGAGGCCAGGGTAAGTATGCCAGCCACAAGAACAGGCAGGCTGTGTGCCTGGGTCTTATCGTGCTAGGTGGGGAGTGGGGTGAACTTGAAGAGAGACAAGTGGACAGGGAAATATCAGAAAATCTTGAAAGCCAGAGTAAGGAGTACAGATGTTATTCTAAGTTAGCTAGGCAGGCTCTGTGGGGATTTAAGCAGAGTGACATGGTTGCATGTATTAAAATTTTGGTCTACAAGCGTCTCTTCCTTTCCTTTCTCAGCTTCTTCTTATCCCTAACACATTCTCAGGCCTCTCCACAGATACAATTTTCCATCCTCTTCCCTTCATGATCCACTTGGTCACTCCCTCCTCTCTGCTCATTCAGGGTCTTGTACCTTTGCTCCTCATGATACTGCCAGTTGTGTACAGTTAATTGCCTCTTTCTCCTTCACTAGACTATGTTGTTGTTATGTGCCATCGAGTCAGACCCGACTCATAGCGACCCCTCCTTGGGTTTCCGAGGCAGTATCATTATGGAAGTAGATTGCCCCATCTTCCTTCCAAGGAGTGCTTGGTGGGTTTGAAACGGCAGCCTTCTGGTTAACAGTCAAGTGCCTTAGGCATTATGCTACCAGAGCTCCCTCACTAGACTATAAGCCTTGCTGTATCCCCAGGCACCAGCACAATGCACTACCAATGTAAAATAAGCCAGGGAATATGTATACTTACGCTTTTCTCAGCCATTCCCTGCCCCTCTTCTCCCCAAGTATGAATAAAGTTCCTTTTGAAATGTCAGCCTCCCTTGTCCCTACAGGGAGAAAAAGGAAAAGAGCTTTGAGGGGAAAAGGTGGAGAATAACTCATTTTCTCTCTCTCTCTCTCTCTCTCTCTCTCACACACACACACACACACACACACACACACTTCCCCTTCATCCCTGTAAGGAGGTGGAGGCAGCAAGGAGTGATTCAAGTTAGAGAAGGGTACAGGTTCAGTGTCCCCTCATTCCCACTTACTTCCATAAATTGGATCTCCTGTGTAGCCCCTGTAAATAAGGCAGGACCCTTTTTAAAAAAGCATGACAGCAATTTTCTCTTCAGGGTTTAGGGATGACTGGGAGGACAGGGGCAGAGCAACATGTTGTTACTGTAAAATACTAAAATCTTGTGCTTCAAGAAAACCAGAGTGAATTAGGAGTTTGCCTGCACTCTCACAGAAAATTGGTTTTAGTTGGGTCTAAGTCACTACAATAATTTCCCACCCTGAAGCGCTTTTTGCTAGATAATTTGCGCGATCGCCGCAGAGGCTCGCAACTAGACTGGACTAGGACACGAACGCCGCTCCAGGTAGGGTGCCCCGTGCGCCAACCTGAGCTTCGGCATTCTGACCTTACCACCCATCCCAACCTGCGTTCTGCAGCTCCCAGACCCCTCAGAAGAAAGGTGAGAGGCAGAGGCGGGGCAGAGGAGTGTCTTAGCCTCAAAATGACTCCTAAGGTTCAGTCCCCCGGAGGAACTGATTCTCTCATGGTAGCCTGGCTGGAACGCGCTCAGAAACTCAGCCCATCTTGGCTTCTCCAAAATGGTTCGCATTAACTGGCGAGCCCTCTCCTACCTTCTCCCAGTGCCTGGCAGGAGCTCAGCCATTTGAAATGGCCTTGGACTTGGAGACAGGGCCTCAAACCTCGCCAGGGGCTGGGTGGGGAAAGAAGAGGCAGGCAGTTCTCCTCCACTTCCTAGGCAAACCTGGGAGGGAGGTTGGGGAAGAGCCTGGAGACCGCTCCCAACCCGTCGGCTCCGGGAACAGGGTGGCAGAAGCTGCAAGGTTCCCTGGCGGCGAGTGCTAGGCTGCAGTGGCTGCTGGAGAGGAGCCCAGTGTCGCGCGTCTGGACAAGCTGCTTAGGGGTGGTTTCTGCGCTCAACAAGCTTCACAGGTAGCCCAGCCCAGTTCCCAGTGCCTGGGAGACAGGCTCAGAGGGCTTAGCCGGAGCCTACTCTGGGGCGACAGGTCATGCCACAAGGGTTGTTGTGGAAGGTGCCCCCAAAGCTTCCAGCCTATCGCTGCTTCCTAGGGGAACCTAGCTGCTCGAGAAAGATACTAGAGGTTTGGGGGATATTTCCTAATCACAAGCCCAGGAAAGTTGTTTTCCGGACAAATGGAAGCTGGTGTCCTGGCCTCTCACTTCTGGTTAGTAGAGGGAGCAAGCCTGCGGTGCACTCTGGCTTGAGCAGCGCCAGGAGCGCAGCTCTGGCACCTCACCCCTACATTTGCCGGACTCCCACCTCCACAGGCCGGAGCCTCTGCAGAGCTGTCGCAGCGCTCCGGGCCGCGCTCCCTGGAAGTGTCTTCCGTCCCAGCTGTTTCCCAAATCCTTCCTTTTCCCCAGCATCCCTGGTGCAACTGTGGTTTCCGCTGTGAACCGATTATGCCGCAGTTACTCCAAGGCCACCTACCGCCCCCTCGCGGGCTGTGTAGGGGCACCCGGCTGGCAGACTTCCAAGCAGGTAGCACAAAAGGCGTGGTGGCTGCGGTGGTGGTGTGAGACAGTTGCCAACAGCTGGTACAGCTGCAGCGTTGCGCACAAGGACTGGCGAGTACGCAACCCAGGTACTGCCCCTTCCCAGTGACGTCTCCGTAGCGGTTTATAAAAGCCTCACGCTCAGCTTGCCGAGGTTCTACTAACTCCCAAGCCCAGAGGGATCTGAGCCAAGAAGCGCCTGCGAAGCTGCAAAAGGCGGCGGCGGCGGCAGCAGCGAAAGCAAAGGGGGAAAAAAAAATCTTCAGCTGGACACGGGGTCCCTTTCCAGCCATAGACTCAGAGAACTTTTACAGATCGCTCTGTGACGGATCCCCTTGATCCCAACTATTCACCCAGCTTCGTGTTTCCCGCCGCAGGAAGGGAAAATAGGGATTTCAAAGAGCAGCAGGTGCAGAAAGGCGGGTAGTCTCTTGCAGCTTGGAACTGCGACTCGTGGAATTTCTTTTTCACTCAACACAGGAGAGACGCTGCCCTCAAATTCCTGAACTTCAATGCTTTGCGAAGCTTGAAAGTGGAGGAATTCAGAGCCACGACGGGCAGGCAGGCAGCGCATCTAGAAGCGTTTATCTTCTGAGCGCCAAGTCTCCTGCTTGCTAGGAGAGAGTTCTGCCCAGAAAGAGCCTTCCACCTTCCTGTCTTGGTTAAGCAGGCGTCGGAATCCCAGGCAGCGGCCACAGGACCTTGCTGCAAGCAGGTGTGTACAGAGAGGAAGACTTAACAGCGTAGCAGCAGAATGGATAACGTCCTCCCGGTGGACCCAGACCTCTCCCCAAACATTTCCACCAACACTTCGGAGCCCAACCAATTCATACAGCCGGCCTGGCAAATTGTTCTCTGGGCAGCTGCCTACACAGTTATAGTGGTGACTTCCTTGGTGGGCAACGTGGTGGTGATGTGGATTATCTTGGCCCACAAGAGAATGAGGACAGTGACCAACTATTTCCTGGTGAACCTGGCCTTTGCGGAGGCCTCCATGGCTGCGTTCAATACAGTAGTAAACTTCACCTACGCTGTCCACAATGAGTGGTACTATGGCCTGTTCTACTGTAAGTTCCACAACTTCTTCCCCATCGCTGCTGTCTTCGCCAGCATCTACTCCATGACGGCTGTGGCCTTCGATAGGTGAGCTTACCCTTTGTGGAAAAGGGATGAAGTGTCCACAGAGGATCATGGCACTGCCGTGAGTGTTTGGAGTTGGATGGTTATGGTCCACGATGGAGACTGGCCATTAGTGTTGGGGGGGGGGTGTTTATGACAGCACCTGAATCAGTTGTTGATGGGGAATTTGATCTTATTCCACCCCTCTCTTTTCTAGTTCCTCTTTTCTGTCCTCCCTCTTTTCACCTATCACCATTCTCACTTCCTTTCCTCACACACACCTTTTCTTTCTCATTTAATCCTCCTGCATCCCTTTTTCCAAAATTCTCTCTGAACTTTCCTTAACACTCCTACTTTGTCCCTTCCCACAGATTCCTTCTCTCCTTCACTCTTTAAGCTTGAGGGGGACACCTAGGCCTTACAGGGGTTTGGCCAAGGTGTGGGCCCCTGGTGGGGGCTTTGCATTATTCCTTCATGCCTGCGATTCTGTTGCACACTGTCTTGTTGCCTTTCTGTTTTCTTTCAATATTGCCTAGATAATATTTCTCATTTTTTACTTTTCCTGAAGATTCAAAGACTTTCTGCTTGCACCTTAACTGTCCAATAGAGTTTTGATGTGAGAAGCATTTCAACAGAAAGATAAAATATTCAAGATTCTAACTGAGCTCCCTCTATGCCACTAGAGGTACTGCTGCAGGATTTTGAGGCAGCTACTTTGTTTTAAGGAATTCCATGGATCCAGGGAGCTTACCTAGGTGTCTTTCTAAATTTCTCTTGCAATAAGGTCTGTACCCATAGAGAGATGTGCTTTGCAAAGACAATTGAGAGCTCTTCCTTTTCTGCAACCAGCAAGTTCCAAAAACCAAACTCAGTGCCATCAAGTCAGATCTGATTCATAATGACCTTTCCTTGGGGTCTGAGGCAATATCACTAGGGAGGTGGATTGCCCAACCTTCCTTCTGAGGAGTGGCTGGTGGGTGTGAACCTCCAGCCTTCTGGCTAGTAGTCAAATGCCTGAGGCACTATGCCACCAGACCCAACCGGCAGGTTAGGGTTTCAGAAACTGATGGAAAGTGAAAAGACTGGCATTTTCTATCATTAGGACTCCATCTGGAATGAATTGCTTTGCAGGTGGTATGATGGCATATTGATGGTTAAAGCGCAGCTCTCTTGGAATTGACTCTTTCACGGGTGTCTTAGGTCTCTAGTCTGTATATCTCCATGTGCACAGGTGTTAAATGCTTAAATGGCATTGAAGGTATGTTTAAAACACATGCTACTATGATTTTAGGATGGGCTCTTTTGATGTTTTTGCTGAAGAATATAAATGTAAGAAATCCAAAGGAGCTAGGTAGAAAACTTAAAAAAAAAAAAAAAATCCTAAACTACTTAACCCTTTCTATAAAAAACAAAAATTGTTTATGATTTGCAATTGATTTGAGGTCTTTTTCAGGTTCTTTAGCCAATGAACACTTTTAAAATTAAGGAAATCTATATTTCAGTCCTTCATCCAAATGCTGATTTGTGAGGTCCATGTACACCTCCTTTTATGCAACTTTCATATGATTGATATGTTCTATGTAAAACAAATTGCAATGAATCAATTTATCTCTTAAATGTAAAGGTAAACCAATTACTGAAAGTGAGAGTTAAATGAATTATTTTGTAAATTCATCTCATGCTCCTCTGGTTTACAAATCTTCACTTTGCTGAAGGTGAGATACACTTGTTAATCTTTATGCACTGACTTGCTTCTTTAACTTGACAGCAGACCCCTTAAACTTAGAAAAGCCACAGCGTGATATGTAACCAAATACAAGTACAGGGAAATCTTATGCCATTTCAGCCTCATGCCTGATTTCTTGCTGACCCCTAAAGTAGAGGGCCAGTTGGTATTTCTTACTGTGCTGGGGCCTTCATGAGCTGTGGGGAGACCTTCAGTCGGTGTGATAGGGAACCTTCAGTACTTGGCGGAGCAGCAGCATATCACTCTATCCTCTTTGGCCTACACTTAAAGAACATCTTCCATAGCATTGATCTTGCCCAGGGAGATGACCAACAATGTGTTCAAGGTTACAGAGTGTAAGGTAGAGTTAGGGATGAGACCCTAGGTCTCTGTCTCCAAGTGCTTCTTCTGTTTTTCCTTGCTAGACTTGTTGAAGGAGCTCTAGTGGCACAGTGGTTAAAGCACTGGGCTCATAACTAAAAGGTATATGGTTTGAACCCAGTAGCTGCTCCATGGGATAAAGATGAAGCATTCTGCTTCCATAAAGATTTATAGCCTTGGAAACCCTATAGGGCAGTTCTACCCTGGCCCATAGGGTAGCTATGAGTTGAATCTACTCGATGGCAATGAGTAGCCTTGCTAAGTGTAAGATTAATCCCTTGAGACCTTCTGTGATGCATGCAGCTCCCCTATGTAAGGGCCTTCCCCAAGAAAGTTTTCAAAAGGAAGGAGGCCTTACACTCTCTCCACATGAAGTTTCTCTGCTTTCTCCACTATGGAAATGCAGACTTTGAGAAAATGTTAAATTACCTTTTGTTTGTTCCTTGAATTTTTAACAGGCAACCCTTGAATTGTGCCTTAAAAACAATAGCTACATGGTTTCCTGGTTGTGAAATTAAACCTTGCTCATTGCACAAGACTGTGGAAACATGAAAAGCATAGACACAAGAGTATATATCAACTATTACTTCACCATCCCCAAAACAACACTTGCTAACATTTTGAATATATCTTTTAGAAATATTATGCTACATAATTGAGGTCAGACTCTATATAATTTTGTATCTTACTTTTTTCCCATTGATTTTAATGGTGAACATTTCCTCATGTTATTAAAAAGACATCAGAAACATGTCAGTGACTTCATATTATTCTAGTATATGAATGTGCTATTTTTAACCATTTCCCTGCTGTTAAGTACTTATGTCATTTCTACATTTTTTACTATTATTTGATTAATGCTCTCATGACTATTTCTGCATGAGAATTTTGTTTTGCATTTTTGATTATTTATTTAGGATAGATTCTCAAGGTGGAATTACTATGTCAAGTGAAATGGATTTTTGAAAAATATTCCCTCTAATTTTGAAGGATTGTAAACTCTGGGCAGAGCAAAGACTATGTCTGTTCTGCCTGGTTCACTTTTATCTCCTCAGCACAAAGCAGAAGTTCTTGGAACTTGTTTGAAAAATTTATCTTAGAAGGATCAGCACAATGTTGGTCCCCATGAGGTGGAGGTAAAGATGTCCCAAATGTCTAGCCTTTCCAAACTGCTGTGTCACTCCATCATTTCTAACATCAACTCCTCCTCCTCCCCTCAGTGCTCTTCCTCTGGTCTTAGGTTTCCATATTTCACTACCACGTCTCACAGTGCTCACAAACTGACAAGGAAATGGCTCACACTGTGCTGGAGGCTGACAAGTCCCAAATCTGAGGGTCAGGCTTCAGTCTGGAGGATTCTTTTCACTTACGTGGTTCAGGGGTTGAAGAAGCCAAATTGGCAGGTCACATGACTGGCCGCTTGCTGTCTTAAACCCCAAGAACGAGGGGGTGAGATGTTGAGGAACTAGAGGCAGAATCCAGAGCAGGAGAGCCAATTTTGCCAGAACATTCAAATATATAATCTCAAGGAAACTAAAGGTGGTGATTTGAGCCACAGCCTTGAGCAAGGTGGAACTAAAGATACATGCCATCCTAACCTTGCCTCATCAACACAACAAAGCAACTCACCTCAAAATGTGACCATAATCACAGGCGTAGAGGCTAGAATTTATAATGCATCACAGAACGGAAGACTATGCCGGGAAGGACCATTTTAAGCAATTCACTTCACTGCAGCACCTAATAATCACTTACATTTCACACGAGTAAATGAATGAATAAATTAATACATGCTCCCAGAAGAACACTTAGAAAATACATATAATGGTAAGAAAAGATGTAAAATCCACCCACTACTGACAGATAAAACTAGCGTAAATTATTTTTCCTTTCTGATACATGGTGCTTCCATAAGTTAGAGTTGACTTGATGGCAACTAACAACAATATTGTTTATGCCACATACAGTTGCTCGCACCTTTAAGGGTAAATTTTGGGTCATCGTAAAAAGACTTTCAATGGCTTTTTTTTTTTCTTCTTTATTATTATTTCATGGGAATTTCCCACATCATTGAATGGGGTTCTTCCACAGTTTAGGAAGCTGTTGTTGTTGTTGTTAGGTGCCGTCAAGTTGGCTTCAACTAATAGCATCACAGCGACATGCAAGCCACCACAGTATGACAAACTGAGAGATGATAAACATCTTACTATTTATTAATTCAACAACAATAACAGCAACAAAATGTGCTTTTACATTGTAAATTACTCTTTATTTCCACCAAACTGAACCTAAGTTTCCGTTTAAGAAATGAAAACAGCAAATGACCTTGCTTATCCAGGGTCCCCAGATGTAGGGACAAGATATGGCAAGTCTATGGGGCAGAGTCAGACAGTAAGAGGGCATCAAATCTCTCCAGGAAGAGGTCTGTAGCCTAAATAAAAAATCTAAGGTGTAACTCAAGGTTCCTAATCTGAAAAGACAGGGTGAGATGTTATGGATGACTTTTTTGTGAATGGCCTTTTGACTAATAGTGACCCTATGTACAACAGAACAAAACACTGCTTGGTCCTGTACCAGCCTCACAATTCTTGCTATACCTGAGTTCATCATTGCAGCCACTATATTAATCCATATTGTTGAGGACCTTCCCCTTACTTGCTGACCATCCACTTTACCAAGCCTTCTTTAGGGCATGATCCCTTCTGACAACATGACCAAACTAGGTGAGACGAAGTCTGGCCACTCTCACTTCCAAAGAGCTTTCTGGCTGCACTTCTTCCAGGACAGACTTGTTAGTTCTTCTGGCAGTCCATGGTACTTTTCATATTCTTTGCCAACACCACAACTCAAAAGCATCAACTCTTCTTCTTCAGTCTTCCTTATTTATTGTCCAGCTTTCACATGCACATGAAGCAAT